GAGAAAGAGAGGCGGCTCTCATCTCCTATTCCCCGTGGGACGGGGTCCCCCCAGAGAGCCGCAATTCATCAGACAGAGGACTAATATCTAGAATATATAAAGACCTCAAAAAAATTAGACCACCCAAAATAAACAAAATATAAGAAATCACGAATAAGAGGCGGCTCTCATCTCCTATTCCCCGTGGGACGGGGTCCCCCCAGAGAGCCGCAATTCATCAGACAGAGGACTAATATCTAGAATATATAAAGACCTCAAAAAAATTAGACCACCCAAAATAAACAAAAAATATAAGAAATCAGCATAAGAAAACTGAAATGATTATTTTAATAGACAAATTGATTTTTTTCTGGAAAATGTTATTAATTTTTTGTTCTTGTTGTCACATGCATTGAGTTTATTGGTACATTTTAGGTGTATAGTACATTCATCATTGGGATCTTGTACCTTTACATGACAGGTCTTGGTTCTCATTTTTCCCCATACCTTGCCCTCCCTTCATACACTCCACCCTCCACTATTTACAAAGACTTTGTTTCCATTTTTTTTCTTTTCTCATATCTTTTCTTTCCCCTTATTTCCTTTCCCCTATCCTTCCCACTTCCTCTACACCTTTAGCCCTTTTCTTCCTATTTCACGTTAGCAGTTATACAATTTGGATGCTATTTACACTTTTAGTTTTTCACACCAGAGGAACTCTTCAGTATTTACATATATATGTCTTATTTATTTCACTTAAAAGTATGGCTTCAATATGTATCCATTCTTCTATGAATAACTCTATTTCTCATTCCTTATGGCTGAGTAGTACTCAATTTTATAGAAAAACCACATCTTCTTTACCCAGTCTCCAACTGATGGGCAATTGGGCTATTTCCAAGTTTTAGCTATTACAAACTGTGCCACTGTAAACATAGGTCCACATATATCACTGTGGTATGATTCTTTAAATTCTTTTGGAAAGATACCTAGCAGAGGGATAGCTGGGTTGTTATTAAATGTTTATGAGAATAGAATCAACTGATCACAAAGACATAAAAATTATAAACTGATATATACTAACAACAGAACTCCAAAATACTTCAAGAAAAAATAACCAAATAGAGAGGGGAAAAAAGGCAATTCAACCCTAATATTTGGAAACTTCTATAAGTCACTTTACAAACACTTCTAACCAGTGTTACTGAAGTATAATTGACAAGTAAATCTGCACATATTTAAAGTGTACAACACTTGATAATTGCATACACCGTGAAATGATTATACACCATTGTCTCACATATCTATCTCACATTCAAAAGGGATAAAACATCTAGGCAGAACATTTTAACACACTTATACATGGTATGAACATTATAAATCAAGCAGACCTAGAAGACCTCCACAGAATATTTCACCCAGTAACTGTAGAAAACACATTCTTTGCAGGTATACCTGGAGCATTTCCAACATAAACCACATAATAGGCCACAGAAGAAATCTCAATAGATTGAACAAAATTAAATAAGACAAAATATGTTCTTTGACACAACAAACTGAGATGAGAAATCAACAAAGAGAAATTAGGAAAATTTTAAATGTGGAAATGAAGCTACATAGTTCTATGTAAACAATATGTCAAGGAAAAATTCAAGTGAAAATTAGAACGTTAAAAGAAAACTAACAGCCAGCTATCGTGTTGAATACCTGTAATTCCAGCACTCTGGAAGGCTGAAGCAGGAAGATGGCAAGTTCTAGCCAATCCTAGACAACTGAAGGAGACCCTGACTCAAAAAATGTAAGAGGGCCAGGGAAATGGGTCAGTGTGAAGGCCTCGGTTCGTCCCCCATACCAGACACAGAAACATACACACACACACACACACACACACACACACACATATATACACACACTGCATAAAAACTGATATCTGTAATTTAAAATTGCTTAGTATTTCATATATGAAACCTGACTTGCAAAATTATCCATGTTTAACTATATACAATTGTTTCATTTAAATATTAAAGGTACAAATGAATTATCAATATAGAATTCTCAGTAAAATGCCTAAATAATATATAGGACAAAAGGACTACAAAAAAAGGGAAGTAAAATTTTCTTCTGGTGAAGTTGAATTTATACAAGTTGATACTTTCTTAACTTTAAGGAGACCAAGAAAAATAAAGGATTTATATGCCAATTGCTACAATTACCAGTAATCCTAACACAAAGAGGTATAGGTAACACTTTAATTACTAATGTAGCTCATTTATTTTGCACTGTGGATTGAGCACAGGACTGTAACACTGAGCTACATTCCCAGGCCTTTTTTATTGTTATTTTGAAACAAAGTCTCACTAACGTGCCCAGATGGGACTTAAACTTGTGATCCTCCTGCCTCAGCCTTCCTGTGCTGGGATTTTAAGTGTGTGCTACCATGCCCAGCTACTAATGGAGCTTTAAAAATTACTACCAAACTTCAATGCTCTGACATATGCCACATGTACTTGTTTGTTGTAATGTACTTCCACTTCATAAACTATAGCTAGTACATGCTGGGAACTGGGCAATCAATGAAAACATATAACAGAAATATATTAAACAAAGAAAAGTGAATATGATCCACTCTTCAGAAGATTATTTGCCTTTAAAGAAAATTTTACATCTTAAAAAGTTAGGCACAGGAAGACAAACGTCCAAGGTGAATGCTTACTTAACAAACAGAAGGGCCAGGGCTGTGGCTTAGTAGTAGAGCACTTGTGTAGCACAAGTAAGGTCCTGAGCTCATTGACCTATGTGATGTTTATATACATACACATACATGTGAAACAAAATGTTTTTCTTGATCAGTAATATTAATCAAACATAGGCTCTGCAAGTATTTATGAGCTGTATTCTCACTGTATGAACACAATGCAATTTACTGAAAAACACAACTTTCAGCTGGCATGGCAGCTCATGCCTGTAATCCCAGCACTGGGGAGGCTGAGGCAGGAGGTGGATGGCCATGAGTTTGAGGCCCACATGGGCCATACAGGGAGTTCAAGGCCAGCGTACACTGCACAGAGAGACCTTCTCTCTACCGTTCCCCCTCAAAAAAACCCAAAAACAAAACACAGACCTTTCACCATTTATTAACCAAAACTTTATGCATATTTTGGAGTAGTTTTGTTTAATATAGTCCTAGAAGAAAAATTATTATTTATAACTGGTAGGAAAACTTTTAAATTTGCTTAAAAATGCCAATTTAATTTCCCAAACCCAGTACCATTTTTTCTCTCTCTCTTTCAAGAATGTGGTATCATGATAAGAAGAAAAGCTTAGTATTTATTTTAAATGTTATATTTATCAATCACATGAAATATATTCATTTTCCACATACACTTACTTTTGTATCTCTTGTAAGGAACAATACAGAAACTGAGAATGAGCAGAACATAAACAACCACTACTTATGCAGCAAGAAGCCAATGAAGCCAAACCACAAATTCTACAGTGACCCGGCTCCAACAGCGAGGACCTGGTCAATAACTGCTAACGTTCTTCACTGTGGACCCTGTTTTGAACTTAGGACCAAGAGGAGGGGACCAAATATGCTCCCCTAGTCTATCTTATACAATGTTCCACTTCTAGCTGGTCTCTATCTTCACCAAGCCAAAAACATACTACCAAGGTACCCTCAAAGCCTTCCATTTTTTCTACCACAGTTGTCCAACTTCCTTGAATACTGCTGCATCCCTGCCAAACAAACGATAATGGCCATATTCCTTGCTACAGAAAACCAGAAATATATGGTTCTTGTTTTCATTTCTTTTCAGAATTGTTGGATGTATGATGGGTTACATATTCTATCATTTTGTAAATATGTGAAATACTGAAATCATCACATGTACAAAGCCTATACATGTATTTTATTTCCACAAAAACATATACAGATTGCCTGTGAATGTGTTTATACTGCTGTAATGCACATCCATCTATCTATCTAATTATCTATCTAGATTTTTTTTTTTTTTTGGTACCAGGGATCGAACTCAGTTCTTTGCTTTTGCAAGGCAGGTTGCAGAACCACTGAGCTAAATCCCTGGTCCCTTATCTAGATTTTTCAGTGTATTTTTGGCTTTGTTATTTTCATGTGTACTTCTGGCTTTTTGCTCTTGCTTGGCTTTGTTACTATTGTCAACCAAATAAAAGACCTCTTTATTTATAAAAATGGAAAAATGTGCTGACCAAACAGATACTGAACATTTTTTCGACAGGGGAGGTTGAACCTTGAGCCTCCGCACGCTCAACCACTAAGCTACATCCAGAACCCCCGCCTCCTTTCTAAAGACTGGGTCTCACTAAATTAATGGCCCAGCCTGGCATAGTACTTTTGTGACCCTCCTGCCTCAGCCTCCTTAGTAGCTGGGATCAAAGGAGTGTGACACCAACCTGGCCTGTTACTGAGAATTTAAAATATTTCACTAGCTCCATACATATTTGAGATCTATACAAAATATAAAGAATACTAGTGCAGCATAAAAAAAATCAAAACCCTCTGAAAAGTGAAGACACGTTACCTGTCCGGGAATGGTTCTTTCATGATAGCTGCCTTCCCAACAGAATCCAGGAAACTGTTAATAACGGAGACGGATACTTTCCGTGTAGAAAGGGAAAGGGAAAAATGAAATTGGCAACAGAATTCAACACCCAACAACATTTGTTTCCGAAATGAGAATTACATCGATAGACAAACCCGAGAGTTGGTAGCTGGATCACCGCTATTTCTGTTGCTCCCGGAAGTTCTCCTCTAGGAACAGAAATAGGACCGGAAGGGAACTGAGAATTTCCAGGGGGCCAGAAGAGGCCTGGCCTGGAGGCCCAACAGTGCCCCTGCTGGTGGCAGCACAGAATGGCAACCAGCCGGTGCTTCAACCAAGGAATGTGAATACCATTGATACCTCAGGTGTCCGGGAGCTGAGACGGCTAAGTGAACTTCTATTAGGGTTAAAGACTACTTGAGTTGCTAGAAGCTGACCGATTGCCAACTCCCTATTTAGTATGGGATGAGTGCTTAATCAAGTAGTCCTCTGCCTTTTCTACCTCCTACCTTCTGCAAATCGTTAAGCGATACATTTCATTCTTCAAAATCCTTATGAACCTTTCAATCTTGAAGTTCTGATGTGTGTCTTATATGGCCTTGAATGTCAAGCAACTGAGATTTACATATAAAAGTCCTTTGATAGCCAATGACTTAGAAAAGTATAAAAAGATTAGTAACTTTTCAAAGAAGAGTATTTCAATGTGAAAATAGGACATCAAGCATCTACTGGTTATAAACATTTAATTTTAACTGTTAAACAAGTTATACACATCTATCAATGGATATTCGGTAGCTATAGATTTTTTAATTATTATACCACATAAAATAGAATTTTTATCCCCTGAAATTGGCATAATTTATTGTACAGTTATGGTGTTTTACCTTGACTGTGTACTTAGTTAACCCAAAGAATATTTATGTAGTACCTGCCATGTTATGACAGCTTTCCAATAGTAGCACTTGTTTTGTTTTTTGGTTGATTTTTTTGTTTTTGTTTTTTTGTGTTTTTGGTTTTTGTTCTTTGTTTTTTTTTGGTGCCAGGGATTGAACTTGGGCCCTTGAGCTTGCAAGGCAGGCAGCAGAACCACTGAGCCAAATCCCTGGCCCTCTAATAGTAGCACTTGCGGATTTCAATCTTAAATTCACTTTCTCCTCTGCCATTTTGATTACTTTGATCTCATCTGATCAAAGACTCTGGAAATAAAATTAATACTTAATTGTACATTAGGCATACTATGATTATTTGAGTCTGTCACACTGCACATACTCACTATGGAGAGCATTGTAAAAAGAGCGTGACATGAGCACAGCCATATTGACCTGTGATTCACCCGAGCAGTGTGGACGTGCCGTTGCCCATAGCAACGGGCTAGTTCAACTGGTGGTCTGATCTGTTGCCTAGCAACTGTAACGGTTGGTTTCCTTCTGGAATGTGTGGGCGGTACTCTCGCTCCCGTGCAGCGGGAGCGTATAAAAGGAAGAGGTTCTGTAATAAAGCAAGCAAGGAACATGAGAAGAAAAGTGCCTCCTGTCTCTCTGTCCTCGTCCTTTCAGGTTTAGGACCTTCTGGCAGGATCCTGACGTCACGGCTCACGACAACTCACCACAGTTTAAAATGACCTTTAAAAACTTATAAAGGCATAGGCTTTATACCAATATATTTAAATAACAAATAAAATATAGAACAATGTGGAACATACAATTGATGCATTACACTGCTTAAGTTCATATGATTTTTCCACCATAAATCATACTTCTATTAATTCATACAATAACCCCGAATCAAAAATAATGCAAAACTCCGTGATCTCCTAAGGAACAATAGGCTTAAACGTTTACTACAAAATAAATTCCAGTTGAATCCTAATCAGAAAGGAGAGGAGTCCATATTTAAAACACTACCAAGCATAAAGTTGATTAATAAAACTTACAAACTGAATTTGTGACTAACATCACTTGTTCAAATCTTTAGATGAAGAACTGGCTTTATATTGTTAATTGTCAAGAGCCGCTGATCTATCATGTCTCCTAATTTATAAAACAAATACACTAACTGTTTAAAAATTCCATTCTTCTGATTATGACATGATTGCAAAATCCATTTTCCCAAACTTATTGATCATGTGATTTTTCATGTATATATTTGTATATACTATTATCATAAAAATGCAGCTACTTTCCTAATCCTTGGTTGTTTGTTTTTGTTTTCATCTTTGGAGAGCTGTAGTAACCAAAATGCTAGAACACTGTGTAGGATCCAAGAAGACAAACAGCTTCCTGGTACAAACCAACCCTTACCCCAGCCTTTGGTGTTCACTGATCAGACTAAAGGTAACCTTATATTGTGTGAATAGTTCCTTCCTTGAATTTCTGTATAAGCTTCATTTTCATTGAGAGTGACGGTTCATCATTATAACAGTTGCATTTCCTGCACCTGTGGGACTAATAACAGCAGGTACTTGAAGAAAGCACTAGTTTTTGTCACTGGTCATTCTGAGAAACAGCAAACTGCTCATGTTGGCACCTTATTAACTCCATTTATCAAATAAATGTGAAAAATAATTCAGGTTGATTATTGAGTTTTATTCCTTAAACTGAAAAGACATAAAGTTACCACAGAATAATTACCTTAGATCTACAGACACCCAGTGATACATTCTTAATTATTGAACTATTTTATTTTTATCGTTTATGAGAAGAATGCTCAAGGCAAACACACAATGAGTTTTAAACTATTGAGGGTATCAAAGTTTTGTTGCTAGGGAATTTGACTAGGGAATGGAAAATAAATTGAAGTTTATATTTCATTTATATTTTGATCAATATGCATTGTCCTGGAACGGCCAGAATTTAAGAGTCTTTTCAGCTATGGTAAAAGTGCTCCCATGCCACACTGGTGTGAACAAGGGACAAGGACAGACATGATGAGAGTCTGACTCTTCATTCTTTAAGGTGCCCTTATTTTCCTCTTTTTCGGCTCCTACCAGGTAGAGGGGAATATGTTCAAATCCATGCTTTGGAATAGGCTGATAGCAAAGCAGTATTTCACAAAGAAATGGAGGTAAACCCATCCCTGGTGTGTGAGCAGGGAGAGTGATAAGGAAGATGTCCTCTGCTTACCAGCTTCTGCAAAAGTATTATTCAACCAATAGTAGAGATTATTCCAAATATTTCTGTGCCCTAAGTTTCTGTATTTGGGTCTTTAATTTTTTCCATTGTTTGTTATAATTCTCCAATGAAGCCAACAGGGCTTGAAGTATTTGAGACAAATAATTTTAAGAATTGATTCAACTTAATTATTACAAAACTATTCTGCCAGTTTTGCTATCCTTTTGTAATTCGACAGTTCCATCTGAACTCCCTAGCTCATTATCATAGTTACTCATTATCATAGAATCATCTCTTTATCAACTTTTGATGTGTCCTGGACAAGAAAGGCCATTCCCACATGTACTGTTCACAGGTATTAAGTCTTATTTCTACAGATTAGCTCTCTGAGAAGGACAAATAATTGTTTGATTTTCCTTTTCTTGATTCCCTCCTGTTGCATATCATTTTCTTTCAATTGTGGGGTTTTGTGTGCTTTGCAATGTTCTGTTTCATTATAATAGCATTGTCATATTTATTAAAAGTACAATTTATCATCCTTGAAGAGCTGTTTAACATTTATTGTAACACTGGTTTGATTATAAATAATTGTAGTCTATATTACTCAAAACATGTTGGGGAGATTAACTTTTTATATTAAATTCTAAGACAGTTACATACTGGTAAGAGAAGAACTCCTCTATATTTTCATTTCTATTCTATACTTTACGATTTGCATTATGATTATACACCCATTATTTATAATTTTTCAATGTGTGCTTGAGAAGACTATGGACTCTTTGATTTTTCCTCCAAGGCAACACGCAAATGAAAGAAAACCTGATTTTTAAAATGGTGTGGAAAAGGCATTAAACAACAGCAGAGAGCAAAAATGCTAATAAATGTATAATGATTCTAAATGACATTATTATTTGGGGAATGAAAATGGAATAGTGGGAGACCTCTAAGCATGCCAAACACTACACATTATATACACACGGCAATGCTCACTTACTTGGGAAGCCACAGTGGACCCCCTCCTCATAAAATCACTGGCTTACTTTCTATCTCACACGCAAATTATCAGGTACTTGAATTCCATCCATATTCCTCTCAATTCTAACTCTAACCCTAACTTTGAACATGACTACCAAATCCACTAAGGCGGTCCTTCAAACCATACACTATTCTAACCCAAAGACCAAATCTAACTCTGATACTAACTATGAAACCCACAATTCACTACCCAGGTACAGATTCCAAGGTTATCTCTGACCCTAACCCTAACCCTAACACTACAATGAGCCCTAACACAGGTACTTCCAAACCTACATCATTCCTAATCCTGATCCTAAATATAACAGTATCTCTCACGTTCAGTCCCACACTACAATACACAGGTAGTGAAAGACTGAGTTAATTCCTAACCCTAAACCTAAAGCTAACAATAAACTCAAGCCTAACACTACACATGGTATCAACAATGCAATGCTCAGGTACCTGGAAACCATCATACACCATATGCTCATAAAAATCATTGCTCTAAAGTTCACTCTTACAGTCAGATTATCAGGCACTTGAATCCCATCCATACGCCATTCACCCATCCTAAAACAAACCCTAACCATGAACATGATTCCCAACTTCAAATGCAACGGTCCTTGAAATCCTACATTATTCCTAACTCTAACTCCAAAACTAATGCTGCTACTAACTGTAAAACCCAAACTCCATTAACCAGGTACAGAAATTCCAAGTCTATCACTGACCCCAACCTGAACACTAATCCGAACACTACCGTGAGCCCTAACACAGGTACGTACAATCATAAATCACTTCTATTCCTAATCTTAAATTTACTACTGTCACTCACATTCAAACCCACTCTACAATACATAGGTACTGAAATGTCGAGTCTATTCCTACACCTAAATCTAACCCTAAACCTATACTCAAGCCAAACAATACGCATTTCATATATAGACACTACAATACTCTGGTAATTGGGAACCCACAAGACAATTCAGCCTCAAAAAACTCATGGACCTGAACTTGATTGTCACATATAAATTATCAGGTAGTTGAATTCCATCGATATCCCGCTTAACAAATC